AAGGGTTTGGCTCGGCCCCGTAACGCAGGAACCTTCTAAGGCATCTTAGCTGTACATGACGGCAGAAGCCCACCACAGACTTGCGATTGGGAGGTTGGGAGGGGTCGGTTTGAAAAGTTCCTAGAGCAGGAGGAGACTGCTGCTCACTGGGCACCTACCCTGCCCCAGACACTTTCTACACATATCGTTTGCAGTCCCCAGAGCAACCCTATCAAATGTATACTATCCTTAGACCCATTTTTCAGATGAGGAAACCAAGGTACAGAGATGGAATCATTTGCCTGAGATTACACAGCTGGGCAGCCAGAGGATTCGGCTAGGACTGGCAAACCCACCGTCCCCCCTCCACCCCCAGTGAAGGCAGGAGGTGGCCTCTCTGGAAAACCAGCCCTCCGGCCAAGTCCACGCCTGTATGCCCCACAAGTGCCACCCTCTATCCCTGGCTCCCTTGATAGGAAAGGCTCCTGGTCGCTCCGGGTTTGTAGCCAACATCTCTCTCACTCAACATTCTCGATTGCACTCCTACTAAGCCCTGGGCCCTGTGCTAGAAGCCTACAGCCTTGGTTATTCCAGATCATCTTTTTAACAACCCTGCTGAGGAAACTGGCTCAACTTAGCTATGTAATTTGTCCAAAGTCACACAGGTTGAACAGGGTGGAGTCAGGGCTGGAACTCAGACAAGTTTAGCATTCTTCCCACAACATCATGGCCTCACCAGGAACAGCTCAGCCCCATAGCCCAGCTTGGGCTATCAGGACACGGCCCTGATATCAGGGTGTCCAAGCTCAGAAAGGAAAGCTCTCTGCCCCTTTCCAAAGCTCTTGCCCTACTTTCTCTCATGTATCCTTGCCAGAAACCTGGGAAGGACATGCGACAAACAAGTGAGGAGACTGGAAGGACACCAGGGAGGACACCAGGGTTACCTTTTTTTCTTTTTTTTGAGACGGAGTCTCACTCTGTCACCCAGGCTGGAGTACAGTAGCACGATCTCAGCTCACTGCAGTCTCTGCCTCCTGAGTTCAAGCAATTCTCCTGCCTCAGCCTCCCGAGTAGCTGGGACTACAGGCATGTGCCAGCCTGGTTAATTTTTTGTCTTGTTTTGTTTTGTTTTTTGAGATGGAGTTTCACTCTTGTTGCCCAGGCTGGAGTGCAATGGCGTGATCTTGGCTCACCACAACCTCCGCCTCCTGGGTTCAAGCAATTCTCCTGTCTCAGCCCCCCGAGTCGCTAGGATTACGGGCATATGCCATCATGCCCAGCTAATTTTTGTATTTTTAGTAGAGACGGAGTTTCTCCATGTTGGTCAGGCTGGTCTCAAACTCCCGACCTCAGGTGATCCACCCGCCTTGGCCTCCCAAAGTGCTGGGATTACAGGCATAAGCCACCATGCCTGGCCTGGATTTTTATCTTACACATGGACCAGTAACATTTCAACATCTATTTAGAGCAGGGCTCCCCAACCCACAGGCCGTGGACCAGTATACCAGTATACCGGTCTGTGGCCTGTTAGGAACCAGGCTGGACAGCAGGAGGTAAGCTGCGGGGCAAGGGAGCATTACTGCCTGAGCTCTGCCTCCTGTCAGATCAGCAGAGCACAAATCCTGTTGTGAACTGCGCATGGGAGGGATCTAGGTTGTGCACTGCTTATGAGAATCTAATGCCTGATGATCTGAGGTGGAACAGTTTCATCCCGAAACCATCCCCGATCCAGTTCATGGAAAAATTGTCTTCCATGAAACTGGTCCCTGGTGCCAAAAAGGTTGGGGACTGCTGATTTAGAGGACCCACATTGGGTTGTCAACTTCTGCCATCACAAGATATTTCCAAAACTACCATCTATTTTCCCCATCATTTCACAAAGAAAAGGCCCTTTTGATACCAAAAAAAGGGGACAAATAACATGATTGCTGAATACAAGACAGGCCTTTAAATGGAACAGATGTGGCTTTCCGTGGTCAATTTTCTCATTTGCAGAAGCCTAGGGAACTCAAACCTCTTCACAGGTCAGCACTGGGAAACTGTGGTCCCAGCTCCCATTCCTTTTCCACCCCCATAGGTAGCTACTGGCCGAGTCCTGCTCATCCTAACTGGCCTGGTTTCTGGAATCCTTCCTGTTTGCTCCACTGGCACTGCTCCTGACCTCTGCCAGGCCCTCAGTTCCCTCTGGCCTGAACCTGCAGGTGACAAGCTGTTTTAGAGCAAGGAGAGTCACATCTGTCCACAGGAGGGGAAGGGCCTTGATGCCTTGCAAGTATGCATCATGTGAGTAGGTGTAAATTGAATTCCAGGCCCTAGCCTGGAGGCTTTGGTGGAGCAGTCTGGCTGAAAACTGGCCCCAAGACCATGGGCTAGCATTTGCTTCTCTCTCTCTCTCTCTCTCTCTCTCTCTTCTCTCGTCTTTCTCTCCCTCCACCCCTGCTTTCCAACTGGGGGAGAGATAGAAAGAGGAAACTGCTTGGGAGAAGCAAGTTACAGGTAGCCTTGCCCACTGATAATGAGAAGAGGGCAACAGGGAGGGGAGAAGAGGGTGAAGGGGAGCGCTGAGGGCAGGTGGGGAGAGGAACTGTTCACCACTCTCCGCCATAAAGTGACTGATGTGCTGTACCAAGGCTGCCTTACAGCTTTTCCTTAAGGTCAAGAGGTTCCTATGGCCTCCTCCCCAACCCCATCCTTCTTGCCCCAGAAGCAACTGCTTTTATGAACTTGTGGTATCTCCCATCCCTGTTTTAAACTTTGAGAACAAAGAGTGTTACCCAAAACAACATGGTATTGATTTTGCAGTGGTTTTTAGAGTTTATGTAAGTGGCATCAAACTATACATGGCATTCTGTAACTTGCCTCTTCTACCATGTGATCGTTGGCTTTTCTAGATGCATCCATGTTAAAATGTGTAGCTTTATTTCATTTGTTTTTAACTGCATGAATATATCATAGCTTATTCACTTAAAAGAAACTGAAGACAGTGTCATGAGTAGGAAAAGGAGAATCAGACAGCCGTGGGATCAATCCTCACGCCCACCTTTAATTGCTGTATCTGGGGAAGGCCTGTCCCCTTTCTGAATCATCCATGCAGATAACCCCGCACTTCACAAGTGAGTTGTGTGGTTGGAATAAGGCAGTGTCAGAGAAAGCACCTAAAGCAATGTCTAGCACATAGCAAGTTCATTACTGGTAGTTCCCTTTCCTTTTCTCCATTGATTAGCAGGGAGGGGCGATGGTAAAGAGCTAGATTTAGGGTAATGACTTTTTAAAAAATATTTTAATTCCTTTTTAAGAGACAGGGTCTCACTCTGTCACCAGGCTGGAGTGCAGTGGTATAATTGTAGCTCAAGGCAGCCTTGAACTCCGGGGCTCAAGCAATCCTCCTGTCTCAGGCTCCCAAGTAGTTAGGACTACAGGCACATGCCACCATGCCTGGCTGGCTTCTTTTAGTTTTGGTAGAGATGGAGCCTCGCTATGCTGCCCAGGCTGGTCTCAAACTCTTGGCCTTAAGTGATCCTCTTGCCTCAGCCTCCCCGGTAGCTGGGATTACAGGAATGAGCCACTGCACCTGACCGAAATTTTTAAGAAGGTGGATCTCCTCTACAGACTTATTTCTCTACCCAGTCTTTACAATCATGCAAAGATCAACTCAAGATCAAAACAGATGAGTTCCAATCTATGGAGCACTGACCCTACCAGTGCAGGCAGCAGGGCTGCCCTTCACTTCTCAGCTGCACTGGTTCTTCTTCGGACCTCTCTTCTCAGAGGACCTGCCCCCAGCCAGTCATCCTCTGCCCAGCTTTTCTGGTCCCAAGCTTGTGGCCAGCTCCTCCAGAAAGGCTTCACCCAGCCACGGAAACTCTGCGGCCTAAGGTTTAGGGAGGTCTGGTAGAGGTAACTCCCTGGAAGAGGCTGCTGCTGAGAACTGCCTGAAACTCTCACTTCCTCTGTGACTGCAGGTTTCCAACCACAAGCACCAAAGCAGAGGGGCAGGCAGCACACCACCCAGCAGCCAGAGCACCAGCCCAGCCATGGTCCTTGAGGTAAGTGTTGCTGCCCAGCAAGGCCAGGACAGAGTTCGAAGTGGAGAACCCGGGGCACTAGGGGAATACCACGGCTCGCCCACAGCCCAGGGTCACCACAGGGTTGGGTGAGTAGCTGGAGGCTGCATGGGTTGTGGCAGAAACAGCACTGGGGAATTGGGAACCCAGCTTGGCCACTGACCCTGGGTGCCTCTCCTCTCCTCTCTGGCTTTGGTGTCTCGTCTGCAAAATGGGGGAGGGCAGGGGGCAAGTAGACTCAAAGGCTCCCTTCAGGCGACTTGGAACTTTGACTCTTGCGTGCTGGATTGAATTGGCACTGGGGAGGCCTGCAGGTCCGTAGTGCTGGGGGTGAGGGGGTAAAGAAGATTCCTTCTCAAGCTCAGTGGGGGATCCCCTCGTGGGCAACTAAATGGCCGTGCAAGCCTCAGTGTAGGGAGGGGGAAGGACTGGGCAGACTGCATGCATTTGGGGGCGTGGTGACTTGTAGAGAGGCCACACGGGGAGAAGGGGGCAGGAAGTTGGGGTCCCCGGACAAGGGCCGAGGAGGGAAGAGGAGGGTCAGTGACTGGAAAAGGGGATTGTGGAGAGGCGCTGGGGAGGAAGGTGATTGAACTATGTGTTGGGGGTGGGGCACTGAGGATACAAGGCAAGCTGTGAAGGGAGAGCGGGGAGAGCGAGGACAGTGGGCAGAGAGGGCTCTGGGCACCGGGGGGACGCTCTTTCTCCTGCCCAGGGGTCCCTGGGCCTATGGGATCACCCAGAAGAGTTCAAGAGAAGCAGTCTTTGAGAAGGGAAGTTACCATTCCAGAGCCCAGGCTGAGCGGATGGAGTTGAGGAGGTATGGCCCTGGAAGACTGGCGGGGACAGTTATAGGAGGAGCTGCTCAGAGTAAATCGCAGTCTAAATCAGACTCAGTCACAAAGGAGTTCCTGGCGGGCCTTTACACAGCCCCTTCCTCTGCGTTCCCTCCCTCACAGGTGAGTGACCACCAAGTGCTAAATGACGCCGAGGTTGCTGCCCTCCTGGAGAACTTCAGCTCTTCCTATGACTATGGAGAAAACGAGAGTGACTCGTGCTGTACCTCCCCGCCCTGCCCACAGGACTTCAGCCTGAACTTCGACCGGGCCTTCCTGCCAGCCCTCTACAGCCTCCTCTTTCTGCTGGGGCTGCTGGGCAACGGCGCGGTGGCAGCGGTGCTGCTGAGCCGGCGGGCAGCCCTGAGCAGCACCGACACCTTCCTGCTCCACCTGGCTGTGGCAGACACGCTGCTGGTGCTGACGCTCCCACTCTGGGCAGTGGACGCTGCCGTCCAGTGGGTCTTTGGCTCTGGCCTCTGCAAAGTGGCAGGTGCCCTCTTCAACATCAACTTCTACGCAGGGGCCCTCCTGCTGGCCTGCATCAGCTTTGACCGCTACCTGAACATAGTGCACGCCACCCAGCTCTACCGCAGGGGGCCCCCGGCCCGCGTGACCCTCACCTGCCTGGCTGTCTGGGGGCTCTGCCTGCTCTTCGCCCTCCCAGACTTCATCTTCCTGTCGGCCCACCATGACGAGCGCCTCAACGCCACCCACTGCCAGTACAACTTCCCACAGGTGGGCCGCACGGCTCTGCGGGTGCTGCAGCTGGTGGCTGGCTTTCTGCTGCCCCTGCTGGTCATGGCCTACTGCTATGCCCACATCCTGGCCGTGCTGCTGGTCTCCAGGGGCCAGCGGCGCCTGCGGGCCATGCGGCTGGTGGTGGTGGTCGTGGTGGCCTTTGCCCTCTGCTGGACCCCCTATCACCTGGTGGTGCTGGTGGACATCCTCATGGACCTGGGCGCTTTAGCCCGGAACTGTGGCCGAGAAAGCAGGGTAGACGTGGCCAAGTCGGTCACCTCAGGCCTGGGCTACATGCACTGCTGCCTCAACCCGCTGCTCTATGCCTTTGTAGGGGTCAAGTTCCGGGAGCGGATGTGGATGCTGCTCTTGCGCCTGGGCTGCCCCAACCAGAGAGGGCTCCAGAGGCAGCCATCGTCTTCCCGCCGGGATTCATCCTGGTCTGAGACCTCAGAGGCCTCCTACTCGGGCTTGTGAGGCCAGAATCTGGGCTCCCCTTTCACCCACACAGTCTGACTTTCCCGCTTTCCAGGCTCCTCCCTCCCTCTGCTGAGCCAGTTCTGGCTCTCCCCACATCCTCGCTCCCGGGACTCACTGGCAGCCCCAGCACCACCAGGTCTCCAGGGAAGCCACCCTCCCAGCTCTGAGGACTGCACCATTGCTGCTCGTTAGCTGCCAAGCCCCATCCTGCCGGCAGAGGTGGCTGCGTGGAGCCCCACTGCCCTTCTCATTTGGAAACTAAAACTTCACCTTCCCCGAGTGCTGGGAGTACAAGGCATAGCATAGAGGGCGCTGCCCCACGAAGCCGCAGCCCAGGCCTCCAGTTCAGCAGTGACTGTGGCCATGGTCCCCAAGACCTCTATATTTGCTTTTATTTTTACGTCGAAAATCCTGCTTAAAACTTTTCAATAAACAAGATCGTCAGGACCAGGGCGTGTTCGTGCATCATTACAGCCAGCCCACCTGGGCTCCAGGGGCACTTCTGCTTCTCCCTGCCTGGCCCTGGGTCTGTGCCAGCCCATCCTGCCTTCATCAATGTCTGTCTGTAGCTTTGTCTCCGCCCCCGTGGGCACTCCTGTTCTACTCACAGGGAAACACCCAAGTACATGGGTGCAGAGTGACCAGTTAGGCAGCTGGTTGACATAATTGGGGAAGGGGCCATCAGACATGAACACGAGAGCTCTGCACTCCAGCAGCTCAGGACAGGAGGCAAGATGTGTACGAAACTACTGAAACCCAGCAGCCTGGGCCATGGGGCAAATAAGTGGCACAGTGAACCCACAGCTCAGGGCACTGAAGGTTGGAGCCATTTGGGAAGGCTTCTTGAAGACTTAAAGGGCAGGTATTTTCAGGCATAAGGGAGGGTAGTAGCAAAGGTGGGAAGGCTGAAAGTAAGACTGAAAGGTTAATTTGGGATCAGGTGATGATATTGGAGACCATTCAGAAGGCCCTACTGGTTTTTCAGGTGAGTGATACAAGCGCTTACTAGGGAAATGGCTGCGGGCTTGAAGAAAAGCAAGGCCAGATGCTTGCCAACAGTCATTAGCACACAGCCACCTGGAGGCGGGCTGTGGGGAGCATTTTTCCAGGACTATCAATGAGGCTGAAGTGAGGGGAAGAAATAACTGGGGTTTCCCAGAAAGGCAAGTGACAGGGCTACTGAGTTAAAACAGAAGGTGACGGGTGGGTCTACTGCACTGTCAGTGCCCCCTAATTAAGTCACCAATGTGCTAGGATCCAGTTTCACAGGCCAGCTGGGCCCCTGCTGAAACTTCAGATACGGCTGGAGGTGGGAATGGGGAGGAAGAATCTCAAGAGTTAGCTGGGGAAGCTCGTCCCACCATATAAACACACCATCCCGCTTTGTGGCCACCAGACACTCCAAGCTTTTACAAAATGAAGAAAGGCAGGGAAATGACAGAACGCACCCTGCCTAGAAAAAGTATCAGGGTAGTCAAGATGCTTGTGGCCGGCTGAAAATGTGGCCTCCAAGACGTCCACGCGCACCACTGCACTCCAGCCTGGGCGACAATAAATACATACATACATACATACATACATACATACATACATACATACATAAAAATAAAAGCGAAAGAGGGAGGCAGCAGGGGAGTCAGAGAGGGAACTGTTGCTGCCTCTGGAGGACGGGACCATGAACCCAGGAAATGTGAGCAGCCTCTAAAAGGCAGAAAAGGCTGGGTGAGGTGGCTCGCACCTGTAATCCTAGCACTTTGGGAAGCCAAGGTACGTGGATCACTTGAAGTCAGGAATTTCAGACCAGCCTGGCCAACACAGTGAAACCCTGTCTCTACTAAAACTACAAAAATTAGCTAGGCATGGTGGCAGGTGCCTGTAATCGCAGCTACTCGGGAGGCTGAGGCAGGAGAATCACTTGAACCCAGGAGGCAGTGGTTGCAGTGAGCCAAGACCGTGCCACTGCACTCCAGCCTGGGTGACAGAGTGACTCTGTCTCGAAAAAAAAAAAAAGGAAAATACAAGGCAACAGATGCTCCCCCAGAGCCTCCAGGAAGGTACACAGCCCTGTCAACACCCTGATTTTAGCCCAGTGGCACCAGTGATGGACTACCTGACCGCCACAACTGTATATGTGTGTTGTTTTAAGCCACTATGCTTGTGGTAATTTGTCGTGGCAACCATAGGAAATGAATACAATGTGGATCCCAGTCCATATCCTGAATTGCTCCAAGAAGTAGGGAGGCTGCTAAGTCCTTATGGGCTGTCACAGAAGCCAGAGAGAAACACGGAGTGCAGCGTACTCCTCTAGACAAGTCCTGGAGGGCTTCAGATGTCCGGAGTCTTGGACAAAAGACCAGAGGGTCTGTTCTGCTCTAGGTGCAGGGAGTCAATGAACAGACTTTGCTAACAAGTGAGATGCAGAAAACTTTATTTTTTGATTACATGGCTCAGATAGTTTCAATCAATACCATCAGCAACGAATTTTATGAAACACGTTTGTCTTTCCTGTCTACATAGATGTCACAGTAGCCCTGGTATTTAAGTGTTGCCTCTAAAACTTGTCCTCTTTCCAGCGTTCTCCTCTTTCTCTCAACCTGCCACTCTTGAAAACTCACTTTTCTTTTGCATTTTGTCCTACATGTGAAAAATATGGAACTCAAGTAAGACCCAAGGTAGATCCCAAGGGCTTCAGAAATACCCTGTCAAGGGCACAGAATAGTTAGCAACAGAGTCCCTGGTTAAGATCAATTATCATTAATAACATGAATCTTAAATTCTACTACTACTTACTTAACAGTACCTAAATTCTAATATTCCTAACTTCACAAAAACAAATTTTTCTAAAACTTCTTACCAGTAAAGGATATAGCTCACATGAATATACTCTCAGATAACTTTAAGAATTCTTCACTGCCTTGTAATTCCTGCCAAGTGTTTTCATCATATCCCCGTGGCTAATCCTAGCCATCTCCTGCTTAATTTTTCTATAATACTTCTGCACATACACAGCAAATGGTCATACGTGGGGCACAGAACGGGTCCCATGTTTCTGAGTTAACGGCACCATGACCAGAGACCCCTTGCATTTGCCACAGAAGAAGCGGCTGGTGTCCAGCGATTTGGTGTAGCGGCCAATCCTGGGAAGGAAAGGAACAACACACAACAAAAGAATCAGTCACTGCACCTCAGCATCGGCTCTGAGATGTTGGCCTTGGGCCCAAAGCAATAATTTTCTCTGGGTTGTCAGAGACCCAGGCACCAAGTGGCAGCAGTGGTCAGACAGGCTCAAATTACTGAAGAGAAAGGAGAAAGAGAACATGGAAAGGAGGAGAGAGGTTCTCCTCCTCAATTCAGACAGCCATCTACTTATGAAATCACTCAAGAGCCACTTGGAGGCCCCAGCAAAACGTAACTGGGAAAAGTCTGAGGAGAAGAGTCTTACCTGGTTTTGCACCCAGTACATTCATAATGGACCTTGTAGTTAATCTTATAGTTATGGCAACGGGTGACCTTGGGCAGCTCCGGGTGTATCCTGTTGGATTTCCTGGCATAATACTTCCATGTGTCACCATGAGAATCACGGATACCATCAATCAGCCAGGAGGCAGCATGGCATATTTCATGGATCAAAGTATCCCGGATTCGGTCTTGAAAGAAGAATGAAAAGAAATTGTGAGCACTAAAACCAATACTCTTTTTTTTTTCTTTTTTTTTCTTTTTTGAGACAGTCTTGCTTTGTCGCCCAGGCTGGAGTGTAATGGCGTGATCTCGGCTCACTGCAACCTCCACCTCCCGGTTTCAAGTAGCTGGGATTACAGGCGTGCACCACCATGCCCGGCTGATTTTTTGGTCTTTTGTTTTAGTAGAGACGGGGTTTCGCCATGTTGGCCAGGCTGGTCCCGAACTCCTGACTTCAGGTGATCCACCCACCTCAGCCTCCCAAAGTGCTGGGATTACAGACGTGTGCCACCACACCCGGCCCCAATCCTCTTCTTATCTGCTACCCAACAACCCCTCGACTTTCAGCCCCACCAGACACAAGGTTATCTTACAGAAGCACATGCAGGTAAGTATGAGTGTTACCTTCCCAGGATTCTCAAAGTGAATAGTGAACCTACTTCAACCCGATATTGTTTATGGCAAAGAGCCTTCGGTGAGCAGGTCTTTTCAGAGCAGCTCCAACATGCTCATTTTTTTGTGAGGCACTTCTAGAAAAATATCCAGACAAGATCTAGTTTCTGCCCTCCAGGAACAGAGGTGGACAGGGTGGGGAGAAATCGCTACGGCCGTGGGATTTGGTTAGAAGCTCCTGGCCGGGCGCGGTGGCTCAAGCCTGTAATCCCAGCACTTTGGGAGGCCGAGACGGGCGGATCACGAGGTCAGCAGATCGAGACCATCCTGGCTAACCCGGTGAAACCCCGTCTCTACTAAAAAATACAAAAAACTAGCCGGGCGAGGTGGCGGGCGCCTGTAGTCCCAGCTACTCGGGAGGCTGAAGCAGGAGAATGGCGTAAACCCGGGAGGCGGAGCTTGCGGTGAACTGAGATCCGGCCACTGCACTCCAGCCTGGGCGACATAGCGAGACTCCGTCTCAAAAAAAAAAAAAAAAAGAAGCTCCATGGTGAAATTGGGATCTCAGGGGTTCTTACTAATTGATTGAATTTAGAAAGGCCATTCTGGGTATGGCAAAACATGAGTATATGGCACATTTTTAAAAACATTTTGGAGACTGAGTCTTGCTATGTTGCCCAGGCTGGAGTGAAACTGCTATTCACAAGTGTGATCATAGTGTACTACAGCCTCGAACTCCTGGGCTCAAGCGAGCCTCTCACCTCAGCCTTCCAAATAGCTAGGACTACAGGTGTGTGCCACCGCACCCAGCCTGTGGTATGTTTTGAAGGCCAGTGTGAAGACAGCCTGTCTGGGGCGTGGGCTAGTGGTAGAATACTGAGAGACAAGATTGGCCAAGCCAAACAGGAGCACATTACAATGGCCTCAAAAGCCAGGCTCTAGGCCTTGAAAAGCCCTGGTTTCTCAGCAGGAAAGCAATGTAGTTACATATGGGAGACGAAATGGAGCAGGGATGAGGGCCTGTCCTTGGATGGAGGCACAGATAGAGAAGGAATGGCGAGCTACTGTGAAGGAAGATTTGGTGACTGGCTAGACATAGGGGACCTTGAACCTCAGCTCCTGAGAGAATGAAGATGCTACTGCTGGCAAGGGGGAAATGCAGAGAGAAAGGCAGGCCTGGTATAAAGATCGATGGGTTTGATTCACAGGGATGGTGAGACATCCAATAACTATGTCCTCTAAGCAACGCACAGCATGCCTGCCCACCCAAGAATGACAGTTCGAGCTGTGACACAGGCTACCAGCTAGGAGTGATTTCATAGGCACAGTGTCAGAAGGAAAGAGCATAGTAGTGAAGCTACCACACTCCTGCCATCACCTGCAGAGTCGCAGACTTTCAAGCCAATCTGGATCTCGGCAAAGCGCTGCCTCTTTGGGTGCCACATCTCACCAGTGCTGCATGAGCCAGCAGTTTTCAACATCTTGTTATTCCAGCCTATCCGTAGTTTCTCTGGCAGCTGAGAATGAAAAGCAAATGGAAGGAATCAGAAAGCAGTTTTGTTTTGTTGTTGTTTTTTTGAGATGGAGTTTTAGCTCTTGTTGCCCAGCCTGCAGTGCAATGGCACAAACTAAGCCCACTGCAACCTCTGCCTCCCAGGTTCAAGTGATTCTCCTGCCTCAGTCTCCCAAGTAGCTGGGATTACAGGCGTGCACCACCACACCCAGCTAATTTTTCGTATTTAGTAGAGACAGGGTTGCACCATGTTGATCAGGCTGGTCTCGAACTCCTGACCTCAGGTGATCCGCCTGCCTTGGTCTCCCAAAGTGCTGGGAATACAGGCGTGAGCCACCATGCTGGGCCCAGAAAGCAGTTTTAAGCAGACCAGAAAATATTAACTCCAGAGTTTTTTACCCTCTAATAAAAAGGAAAAGGAACTTTCTCCCCCAGGTTCTTGGCTCACAGCAAGTTTGAGAAGAAATTTATTCAAAGAGAATACAAATCAAAACATTCTGAGGAGAATAAAAGCCGCATTGAAGTCTGGGTAAAGACAATAAACAGGCAATCAGGACACAAGGGAGACTGATAGAACATGTGAGTGCAGGACTTGGGCTTTCTTGTCCTTGGTGCAGCCAAGGAGAGAAGGACAACCCTGCTGAGGTGGGCGAGGCTGAACTGAAAATGCAACTCAGAACACTTCAGGTTCCACCCATCTGATGTGACATCACTGTCATCCGGAAGGGCACCAAAGGCTGGGGAACCTTTAGGAATATGTAAGAACTTCCCTCCATAAAGTGTTGTCACCAGAGATGATAAAGTCTGAAAAATCTAATGACTAACAGGTCTCTCTGCCTCCAGATTTTATCCAATCCAGTCCATACCCACAGGTTACTGTCAGGTTAATTTCTTTCAGCAGGTTAATTTCATTCACTCCCTGATGCACCCCATCCCTGTGCAGTGCTGCCTACTCACGTAAATTTCACCTCCTCCAACCTGATTCCCAAGGCCCTCCAGTATCCAGTCCTACACTATCAAAAAATAAGAGCTTACTATGTCCTAGACCCTGTTCTAGGCACTGTATGTGTATTAACTTATGGAAGGGTAACAATAATCCTGTAAGGTAATATGTACCGTGTTGTCCCCATTTTACAGATGAAGAAACTGACGGAAACTGAGGTCAAGTAACTTGTTCAAGGTCACACAGCTCTTTTTCCATTATCCTTCCACAAGAATCCTCTCTTCCTGATTGTCAAGCCTCAACTCTCCCTCTCCCCCATCCTGTTGTTCTCGCCACTTACCATCCTTTAAGAAGCAGAGTCTCACTTCCTCCAGGTAATCTTACTTCCTGGCTGTTGAGGCTCTCAGTGATTTCTCCCTCTGCTGATCTCCTGTGGTAATAGCCATCTGTCCTATACATTATAACTCATACACATTCTCTATTGCTTTCACCTGTGCCAGGGCTCATCTCCCAACCTCAACCGCCTCTGCTCAAGGGCGGGAAGTATATATGGTTAGTGCACCTCACAGCACCAAGAGTACTGGTGTATAGTAGGTGCTCAATCAGTGCTCATTCATTGATCCTACCTTTTTATCACAGACGGATCTGTTAAACAGATCATAGATTCTCCGAACCAATTCATCCCTATTTCGCTTTAAATTTTTTCCAGAGTATTTCTTTGATTTTTCAAGGCCATGCAAGAAACATCCAGGGACTTTGCACTTACGAGTCCTGTAAAGATAAATTCAGCTGAAGTTTATGTAGCTAAAGAGAGAGAAGGAATGCACATGTAAGCGTCTTGTCAAGACCTGTCGCTCCCTCTTCCATCCAGCTCCTTAGATGAGGGCATTTCCCAAGCCTTCATTTGCAGCCTTTTCTCTTCACTCTTTGCAACCCTCAGAGGTATAAAGCCCATGGTTTCAACCTCAAAGACACTTATCCCCACATCTGTATCTGCACTCTGGAGCTCTCCTGAGACCTAGTTCTGAATTTACAACTGCCCAGTGCAAACTTCCAACTGACTAACACGAATGTATCTCCAGCTAAACATGTGTTCAATTATCAAACTTGTGTTACAATTGGCTGAACAACCTCAAAGACATTTTTAAATTCCTTTTCTCGGCCGGGCGCGGTGGCTCACGCCTGTAATCCCACCACTTTGGGAGGCCGAGGCGGGTGGATCACGAGGTCATGATATCGAGACCATCCTGGCTAACACAGTGAAACCCCATCTCTACTAAAAATGCAAAAATTGGTCGGGCATGGTGGCGGGTGCCTGTAGTCGCAGCTACTCAGGAGGCTGAGGCAAGAGCATGGCGTGAACCCAGGAGGCAGAGCTTGCAGTAAGCCGAGATCGCGCCACTGCACTCCAGCCTGGGCAACAGAGCGAGACTCCGTCTCAAAAAATAAAATAAAATTCCTTTTCTCTCTTTATTGGGCACAAAGACAGACTATCTTCTTCACACTTTCTCTTCAGCCCCTCCTTTCCATCCCCCTGGTTCCTACTCTAGTTCAAGTTCTTGTCCTACCCTTTATGCCTGGATATGAGAACATTCCAGTGTTCCTTACCTCCAGGCTCTTTCTCTTCTCATCCAATCACACACACTCCTCCAGATTCATTTTCGCAGGCCATGCTCCAATTACTGTCCCCCTCTGGTTTTTCACTGCCTGGCCTGATATTCATGGCCAGGGTCAACCCTGTCCAAAGCTCTATTCCCAGCTACCACTGCCACTCTAGCCAAAGTGGGCAACTTAAATGTTTCCTGGACACAAATCGCAATTTCCCACATTTGTGCCTCGGCACAATCTATTTTCCCACGGCTTACAATGACTACATCTCCACCACTACTGAGAATAACCATCTGCGCAGCACTTTATCATTCGCAAAGAACTTCCTTTTGCGTTGTCATATTTAATCCTCACAACCGCCCTTCAAAGAAGCTATTACTATTTTTACGATCTCCACTGTGCTCAGAGGTCAAGTGACTTGCCCAACGGTCACAGAGACAGTGAATCTCCTGATCCAAATCTCATGGTCTTTTGATTAAACCACTATCGCTGCCCCATCTTTCAAGGCCTAATTCAAATGGCACAGAGAATAATGCTGAGCACATAAAGGACTCATACTGCAATAACTACCATTTAAACAGAAGCATTTTTATCTTAGCTGGAACAGTCCACTAAGTCCAGAGATGAGCCCAAAGAGCTGGAAAGATAAAAGGGGAGCAAACGCAGCAAGTTTCTGACTTAACAGAACTCCTAAGACTGAGATTTTGCCAGAACAGTTATTAACCCTTAAGTCACAAACTAAACCCTACGTGAGGAAGTTGGGCTGCAGAGAGGGGAAGTACCAGACAAGACAGAGGTTACGGAAGGGTCTTCATCCCAAGCCTGAAATGGGGGACTGAAATATTTCTGCCTCCAGTTACTTAGGTCTGAAAGCAAACTTACATCAGTATGTAAGGTGGCGGATGCAAACCTGAACCCTCTGCAGACTTTGGCAGAGCCCAGACCCCTGTGTGTTTGTGCTCACAGAACGCCAGCCTTGTGGCTCAGCATACTTTCACCTCAAGGCCTGTGGCTCTTTACTGCAGACTGAGCACCTTCACATCACAGGAACCGACAAGACCCCAAACTGGGAAAATCAGACACTATGACCAGCAAGCAGCCTACACAGGAACAAGGCTAAGCATAACAGGAAGGCTCCAGACGACACAGGAAGTGCTAAACAACAGTTAAGAGTCCAAATAGGCTAGCCTCCTTTGGATAATGCAGACTGACAATGACACCAAGGGACAGCTTTTCCCTTCTTTTGTCACGCTCTAGCAAAGCAACCTGGGAGCTACCCAAGACACATGTCCCTGGAGGCAAAGTAGCTTAAATATGTAGTTAGGAGCCTGGAGCAGAAACCTTCCTGAAAGGGGATCCAGCTAAAAGAGCACTTGGCAAGCTGCTACCGGCTACCTCAGCCAGTGCAGAAACAGACAGCCCTTCTGTTCAGGTCCAGGGTAAGCTGGTGCCCCTATGCCTGACATAATCAGTCTTTTTCCCCTCCCTTAAGATATACTTATTGTCCCCAAATATTCGTTAAAAAATAACATAGTCTGGCCGGGCGCGGTGGCTCAAGCCTGTAATCCCAGCACTTTGGGAGGCCGAGACGGGCGGATCACGAGGTCAGGAGATGGAGACCATCCTGGCGAACACGGTGAAACCCCGTCTCTACTAAAAAAATACAAAAAACTAGCCGGGCGAGGCGGCGGGCGCCTGTAGTCCCAGCTACTCGGGAGGCTGAGGCAGGAGAATGGCGTAAAAACCCGGGGGGCGGAGCTTGCAGTGAGCTGAGATCTGGCCACTGCACTCCAGCCCGGGCGACAGAGCCAGACTCCGTCTCAAAAAAAAAATAAATAAATAAATAAAATAACATAGTCCTTCAAATACATTCCTTGTCTTGTAAGACAATTCAGATGTGAGTATACATTACTCTTCAATGAAAGTAAAAACAAAGAAAATTATGCAAATTAGCTGGGCGTGGTGGCGGGCGCCTGTAGTCCCAGCTACTCAGGAGGCTGAGGCAGGAGAATGGCGTGAACCCAGGACGCGGAGCTTGCAGTGAGCCGAGATCGCGCCACTGCACTCCAGCCTGGGCGACAGAGCGAGACTCTGTCTCACAAAAAAAAAAAAAAGAAAAAAGAAAAAAAAAAATTATGCTTACTATATCAAATTTTTAAGGGAAAAACTAAGAAATTCCTGGAATCTAAATAAGAAAACACATTAATTTTTTGCCTTAAGTATTAACATGTCTTTGGTCTACAGGATCAGTTGTTGTTTTCAGCATCAACTATATATAGCTTAATAAAAATAAAGGAATGATAAGCAATCCATTTCATCCTAACATTTAAGCTGAAAAATTCATAAGGATATACATAGTAGTAACAGTAACTGGGTTCAGCCAAAGCACTAGAAAAACCTGGAAGACAATCTTGACCACTCTCCCTCCAACTCCAACAGATCAATGTGTTGCCTCTGCCTTCTCACCATTTCCAGTGCCTTTGCCTTGGTTTAGCATAAACTGGTGGCCACGAAGCTATATCAAGCCTGAAAAAAAGTGTCTTGCTTGGCTACACATAGTTCTTTGATCTGAGTTGAAGGCCATGGGCAATCTCAGAGGCCAGAGCTGCTGTGGGTGCAGAAAGGCCCCCTCTACCCAGGTAACTGCAGGCACCTTGGCGGAGAGCCCATGCCCAGCCTCAGAGAGTGGGGAAAGAAGTGGGAAGGGAGCCAGTGGGTGGTATTCTCCCTTGCTTGGGCCCTCCTACTGAAGGACAGAAATCTTGTCCCCCCCATTCCATCGCAGCCAGACTCCATCTCCTTATAGACAACCCCCATCCAAGTGCCCAGTGGACTGCCCAGTGTGACAACTGTGCAATAAATTCCTGTTCAACGGAACATGGGTAGTACATACCTAGTTTTGCGTTTTTTAACTTTTGCCGCACCGTGTTTCTTCTTTGAAGGTCCACGCTTCTTACGTCCTTTACCAGCTGAAAAAATAATAGGTTACTTGTACCCCAAAAATTGGTACCATCAAGAGACTAACAGAAAGGTAAACCCAAAAGGAGCCCTCACTGCCAAGCCCAGTGCAACATCTCTAAACAAAACTGTCTGAAGTGGCATACTGCCGCTGTCATCATTCTCAACCATCTCACCCACGTGAATTACAGAGCTGCCAGCAGCATGAGCTGGGCAGGATTCTGTCACAGGCACCAAGGACTATGAAGGTCCAGGAGTGTGCCCTTAGGAAGCTAGGTGGTGTGGGCAACTGAAGCGTGCACAGTCGAAGGGGTGGTACGGTACAGCTCACACACCTGCTCCGATGAGTGGCTCATATCCTAGGCAGCACCTTCACTCAGTGTGCAGGGCAAGGCAGATCTTTCTGCCTGGGCCTAGGACCCATCCTGCCAGCTGCTCTAGCTAAAGGCTTATGTACAATAGTCAGTGTCATTCATATATCCAAAAAATTTATTGAACCTCTATCACGTGCCAAGCACCAGGCCAAACCCTGAGAGAGAGTAAAAGATGAGGAAGAGTCCTCCCACGAAGAGGCTCACAGTCTACCGGGGCGGGGTAGGGAAGGGGACCGACTCAGGAACATATTCTAACAGTATGACTAGTGCTTTCGTAGAGATGGGCTCTAGAACTTTGGTAACTCAGGAGACAGGAGCCACTCTGACTCACGACTTCATAGAGGAAGTGATCATTGGGCTGGGTCCTAAGAAAAATAAGACATCCTCAGAACAGAAAGTTCAGGGAGACAGCACTCCAGGCTAGTGAACAGCAGATACCAAGATACAGGAGCATGAGAAAGATGTGGGCATTCCTCCCCTGTTCCCAGAACCATCCTTTCACTGGATGGATGCCTCCTTGGGCCACAAGGAAGTTGTTGAAATGGCACAGGGTTGACAGGGAGGACAGGCAGACTGGATAAGACAGGCACATTCGGCAGGCAAGGCACATTCAGTGGGACAGGCGTACTTGGCATGACTGACTTACCAGGTGTCACAGATACATTTTTGGTTTTTGCCTTCCTCTTCTTCAGTGGCTCCACTATATTTTTGGTCTTTGCCTGCCTTTTCCTCAGCGGTTCCACAATAGTTTTGGTTTTTGCCTTCTGTTGTTTTAGTGGCTCCACAATAGTTTTGGTTTTTGACTTCCTTTTCCCTGATTGTTCCACCACAGGTGCAGGCTCTTCCTCAGCTGGCAGCTTTCTCTCTGAAACTTCAAGGTTAGCCTCAGGATCATTTGGTGGTTCGCTGAGATTCTCACCAAGATTCTGCTCACCAGCATCATCAGATGAATCGTGCTGGGAGACAGCAGCCTCACCCAGCTCTTCTTCATTTGAGGCAATCTGGCCTTCATTACACAAATCTTCTGCTGGCACAGGAACTTCCAAATCATTACTATTGTTGTCGGGAACTTCCAAATCATTACTATTGTCGTCGGGAACATCTGAATCATTACTGTTGTCGTCGGGAGTTCCCGAATCATTACTGTTGTCGGGAACTTCCGAATCATTACTGTTGTCCTCGGGAACTTCCGAATCATTACTGTTGTCGTCGGGAACATCCGAATCATTACTGTTGTCGTCGGGAGTTCCTGAATCATTACTGTTGTCGTCGGGAGTTCCCGAATCATTACTGTTGTCGTCGGGGGTTCCCGAATCATTACTGTTGTCGTCGGGGGTTCCCGAATCATTACTGTTGTCTTCGGGAGCTTCCGAATCATTACTGTTGTCGTCGGGAACATCTGAATCACTACTGTTGTCATTGAGAACTTCCGAATCACTACTGTAGTCGTTGGGAGCTTCTGAATCACTGCTGTTGTCGTCGGGAGCTTCCGAATCATTGCTGTTGTTGTCGGGAGCTTCCGAATCATTGCTGTTGTTGTCGGGAGCTTCCGAATCATTGCTGTTGTTGTCGGGAGCTTCCGAATCGTTGCTGTTTTTGTTGGGAACTTCCAAATCATTACTGTTGTTGTCGTCATTGTCATCATCACTAATAACTATTGGAGGTTCCTGGATGGCAGGCTTCACATAACAACACTCTGGACTCTCATCTGAAATTCAAGAGACACAATCATATATGAATATACTCCCTCCACCACCTCCTTTATACACTGAATTTCAGCAGATTATTTCGCACAAATTAAACAAGACAGGAACTGTGGCGTTTCGAACAGCAGTTAAGAATCAATTATTTTAAAGGGGACACCAACAAATGGAAAGATTCCATGTTCATGGATTGGAAGAACCAATATTGTTAAAATGCCCATACTACCTAAAGAAATGTACAGATTCAATACAATCCCTATCAAAATACCAATGACATTCCTCACAGAAATAGAAAAAAATTATCCTAAAATTTATATGGAACCATGAAATGCCCAGAATAGCCTAAGTTATCCTGAGCAAAAAGGACAAAAGTGGAGGAATCACATAACCTGACTTTAAATTACACTACAGAGCTATAGTAACCAGAACAGCATGGTACTGGCATAAAAACAGATAACATAGGCCAATGGAATAGAATAGAGAACCCAGAAACAAATCCACACACCTACAGTGAACTCATTTTAGAAAAAGGTGCCAAGAACATACACTGGCAAAAAGGAAGTCTCTTCAATAAATGGTGCTGGGAAACTTGGATATCCATATGCAAAATAATGAATCTAGACTCCTATCTCTTGCTATACAAAAACCAAATCAAAATGGATTAAAGACATAAATCTAAGACCTCAAACTATGAAACTACTACAAGAAAACATTGGGGAAAATCTCCAGGACATCAGTCTGGGCAAAGATTTCTTGAGCAATACCCCACAAGCACTGGCAACCAAAGCAAAAATGGACAAATGGGATCACATTAAGTTAAAAAGCTTCCGCACAGCAAAGGAAACAATAAACAAAGTGAAGAGACAATCCACAGAATAGGATAAAATATCTGCAAACTACCCATCTGACAAGAGATTAATAACTAAAGTATATACAGAGGTCAAACAACTCTATAGGAAAAAAAAATCTAATAATCCAATGAAAAAATGGGACAAAAGATCTGAACAGACATTTCTCAAAAGAAGACATACAGATGGCAAACAGGCATATGAAAAGGTGTTCAACATCATTGATCATCAGAGAATTGCAAATCAAAAAACTACAATGAATGACCGGGCATGGTGGCTCACACCTGTAACCCCAGCAGTTTGGGAGGCCGAGGCAAATGGATTATCTGAGGTCAGGAGTTTGAGACCAGCCTGGCCAACATGGCGAAACCCAATTTCTACTAAAAATACAAATATTAGCCACGTATGGTGGTGCGTGCCTGTAGTCCCAGCTACTTGGGAAGCTGAGGCAGGAGAATTGCTTGAACCTGGGAGGTGGGGGTTATACTGAGCTGAGATCACACCACTGTACCCCAGCCTGGGTGAGAGTGAGAGTGTCTCAAACAAAACAAAAGCCAAAAAAAAAACTATAATGAGGTATCATCTCACCCCAGTTAAAATGGCTTTTAGCCAAAAGACTGGTGAGAATGAGAAGAAAAGGGAACCCTTGTACACTGCTCGTAGGAATGTAAATTAGTACAACCACCCTGGAGAACAGTTTGGTGGGTCCTCAAAAAACTAAAAACAGAGCTACCATACAATTCAGCAAACCCACTGCTGCATACGTACCCAAAAGAAAGAAAATCAGTATATCAAAGAGATATCTGCACTCCTGTGTTTGTTGTAGCACTGTTCACAATAGCCAAGATTTGAAACAACCTATGTGCCCATCAACAGATGAATGGAGGTCGGGCACGGTGGCTAGCGCCTGTAATCCCAGCACATTGGGAGGCCAGGGCACACGGATCACTTGAGGTCAGGAGTTTGAGACCAGCCTGGCCAAAACGGTGAAACCCCATCTCTACTAAAAATACAAAAATTAGCCAGGTATGGTGGAGGGTGCCTGAAGTCCCAGCTACTCAGGAGGCTGAGGCAGCAGAGTCGCTTGAACTCAGTAGGCAGAGGCTGCAGTGAGCTGAGATTGCGCCCCTGCACTCCAGCCTGGGCAGCAGAGCAAGACTCCGTCGCAAAACAAAAACAAAAACAAAAACAGATGAATGCATAAAGAAAATGTGGTATATATGCACAATGGAGCAATGGAGTACTGCTCAACCATAAAAAAGAATGAGATCCTGTCACTTGCAACAACATGGATGGAACTGGAGGTCATTATGTAAAGTGAAATAAGCCAGGCACAGAGACAAACTTCACGTTTTTTTCGTTGCTGTTGTTGTTTGAGACGGAGTCTTGCTCTGCCACCAGGCTGGAATACAGTGGCACAATCTTGGCTCACCGCAATCTCTGCCTCCCGGGTTCCAGCAATTCTCCTGCCTTAGCCTCCCGAGTAACGGGGACTGCAGGCGCACACCACCACACCCAGCTAATTTTTGTATTTTTAGTAGAGATGTGGTTTCACCATGTTGGCCAGGCTGGTCTCGATCTTTTGACCTTGTGATCCACCTGCCTCGAACTCCCAAAGTGCTGAGATTACAGGCGTGAGCCACTACACGCATGTTCTCATTTATATGTGGGGTCTAAAAATGAAAACAATTGAACTAATGGAGATAGAGAATAGAAGAATGGTTACCAGAGGCAGGGAAGGAGAGTGGAGGGGTGTGGAAAGGCGGGGATGGTTAATGGGTGCAAAAAAATAGAAAGAATAAGATCTACTATTTAATAGCGCAACAGGATGACTATAAGTCAATAACTTAACTGTGCATTTTAAAATAATTAAAAGAATATAACCGGATTGCTTGTAACACAAAGGATAAATGCTTGAGGAGACAGATACTGCATTCTCTATGATGTGATTATTACACATTGCATGCTTGTATCAAAACATCTCATGTACCCCATAAATATATACATCTATTATCTACTCACAAAAATAAAAAATTAGTTTTTAAAAAAGAAAGTTGGCCGGGCGCGGTGGCTCAAGCCTGTAATCCCAGCACTTTGGGAGGCCGAGACGGGCGGATCACAAGGTCAGGAGATCGAGACCATCCTGGCTAACACAGTGAAACCCCGTCTCTACTAAAAAATACAAAAAACTAGTCGGGCGAGGTGGCGGGCGCCTGTAGTCCCAGCTACTCGGGAGGCTGAGGCAGGAGAATGGCGTAGACCCGGGAGGCGGAGCTTGCAGTGAGCTGAGATCCGGCCACTGCACTCCAGCCTGGGCAACAGAGCAAGACTCCGTCTCAAAAAAAAAAAAAAAAAAAAAAGTTATTTTAGATTGTTTTTCCCTCTATTTTTTATTTCACTGAGAGCAGTGACAGATCAAATAGCAACCAAACTCATGTGGCAATTTTCAAATCATAGCCTCTAAGTAGCAAGATGTAGTAGTTGCTCCGGGCTTCCTAAACACAGGTCTACAGACTTGAATATTTTCACTGGTCCACAGCAAAATAAGACAAATTAGAATAATAAAGTGGTATTTTTCCCCCATCAAGTTAAATTTCTATAATTTAAAGGACTGTCCTTTATTTTGTGATTACGTCTTGGCTAAACTTTTGGTGTTCTTTACAAAATTACAAAGATAGTAAATGGTAGCTGAAGTTTTTTTTTTTAATTTCCTTCATTAGACAAATTAAAAACTGACAACTCTGTGTTGGTCACCAAAATTTCATTCTTTAAATTAGTTCATAAGTGCAAAGCTCTCAGAACCACTGATATGAGTCAGGAGTACGTCCTGATGTCAGCACTCTCTGAGAGGCCTCAGGAACATTTGGAACATCACAGCCTGCACTGAAATGAAGGCCAGTGTGTCTGACGCCACACACTCTTTGGAGTCTGTTTGGAGCTCCAGTTCTAGCTTTCTATGATTCTGGATGTAAAAAAAAAAAATCTAAAAATCTAAACCATGGCATAGGCAAGATGTGAAAGATATTACTTATGGTGCAAAAACTCTTTATCCTAAAACTGCAGATTTGAGACAATATATTTTGAGAATCTTATCTGTTACTTGAATTAATTGTGAAAAAACTTCAAATATGCAGTAAGGGAAGAGAAAAGGAGTAGATGTTCCTATGGTAAAAAGCCTTCCCTCCTTCCTAGAAAACTTAAAAGATTTGCCACCTGCAGTTGAAATGAAAAATTAGAAAAAGTAGGGACACACTGCTTACAACATATTTAAAAATGACTATACAGCGACAAAGGTTGGAGGTATGTTTTAGAGTTCACTGGGCCTTGTTTTCTGTAGAATTGCCTAAATTCATTATAACAGAAAGAAATGCCACATAGAGAACAATAAAGAAACGTACAAAGCCAGTCCTATAGGAGCATTCTTCATCCCTCCATTGCTGCGATGGATGCCCAGTTACAGTCTACAGGCCAGCAAGGTAAGAGCAGCCCTGGCTAAAAGTTCACTCTTAAAAGAATCTGTCTCTTCTGATTTAAGGAGTCAAGCACCTGGCGGCCTCTGGTTGTGAACTGGTTTCTGGCTCTGTTACTCCTGCCTGCCCTCAAGCTGCCTCCTTGGAGTTCCTTTCACATTTGAACGGCTTGTCATGTCAGACCCTCTACTCTATACCCAGACCGCTGTCCTGCTCAGGCACAGCCATCCAGAGCTAGAGAGAGGAAGCAGGGAAAGAAATCCAAAAGGATAAGTGGTAGAACAATAGGAGACCAGCGTTTCAAACGACCTCTCCCTTCCCTGCTCTGATATCCTGGCTTAGCTAAGAAACTCTGGCCGGCCGGGCGCGGTGGCTCAAGCCTGTAATCCCAGCACTTTGGGAGGCCGAGACGGGTGGATCACGAGGTCAGGAGATCGAGACCATCCTGGCTAACACGGTGAAACCCCGTCTCTACTAAAAAATACAAAAAAACTAGCCGGGCGAGGTGGCGGGCGCCTGTAGTCCCAGCTACTCGGGAGGCTGAGCCAGGAGAATGGCGTAAACCCGGGGGGCGGAGCTTGCAGTGAGCTGAGATCCGGCCACTGCACTCCAGCCTGGGCGACAGAGCGAGACTCCGTCTCAAAAAAAAAAAAAAAAAAAAAAAGAAACTCTGGCCAACAATAGCTCTGGGGTAGTTATCTAAGAAGTAGCTGGTGCTGGTCAGGCCCAGTGGCTCACACCTGTATCCTAGCACTTTGGGAGGCCAAGGCAGGCAGATTGCTTGAGGCCAGGAGTTTAAGACCAGCCTGGCCAACATGGTGAAACCCCATCTCTACTAAAAATAAAAAAATAAAAGAATAAAAAAATTAGCTGGACATGGTGGCGGGCGCCTGTAATCCCAGCTATTCAGGAGGCTGAGGCAGGAGAATCACTTGAGCTCAGGAGGCAGAGGTTGCAGAGAGCTGAGATCACGCCACTACACTCTAGCCTGGGGGACAGACTGAGACTCTGTCTCCAAAAAAAAAAAAAAAGTAGTAGTTGGCGCTTTAAGCATCTCCCATTTTCAGTTGAGTTCAGCTCAGCAAACATTAACTAAGTGCCCCAGATACAGTGCCCTGTATCTGTACTGAGAGAACAAAGGTCAATGAAATACTGTCCCTAATGCTTAAAAAGTTTCTAGTCTTGCCTGTAATCCCAGCACTTTGGGAGGCGGAGGCTGGTGGATCACAAGGTCAGGAGATCAAGACCATCCTGGCTAACACAGTGAAACCCCGTCTCTACTAAAAAATACAAAAAAATTAGCCAGGCATGGTGGCGGGCGCCTGTAGTCCCAGCTACTCGGGAGGCTGAGGCAGGAGAATGGCGTGAATCTGGGAGGTGGAGCTTGCAGTGAGCCGAGATCGCGCCACTGCACTCGAGCCTGGGCGACACAGCGAGACTGTCACACACACACACACACACAAAAAAGTTTCTAGTCTTCCTGTGTTTCATCCCCATTGAGCAGGTAAGTTCTGAATTGAGTTAAGCTCCAAGCCACCCAGAAGGTTAAAGGGGCTTCTGAATCCAAACAGGTAAGGATCTGCCATGGGAAACAGGCTCTAAAGAAACACAAGAATCTCTAGAAAATACAGAAGGACTGGCAAACAGCAAGGACCAGCAGCTCAATGGAGAAAGTAAGAATTTTCTCAACACGACACTGCCAGCTGGCCCACAACCACCACCCTTCAAGATGGAAGGAAGAATGAGCCAGGCCTCTTACTCCTTTTCTCTTCCTCATCATTCCCACACATAGAGGGGGGAAGAGGGAGTCACAGAGCAGCCTCCATACTTCCCAGCCTCAATTCTTGACCCACCACTCCAATCCCGCTTCACTGATGTAGCTCTAGGCAGGTAAGAACTCTACTGAGGGGGCCCCCAAGGTCTCAGGCAGCAACAACAGTTGCTGCTGCTGGGAAATTGACCAGAGGGTTATAGGGAACCCAGCCATATCCACATCCAGCACATACGAGGAAAGAAACGGTGGCATTCACTACTGAAGGATTCTGAATAGGAAGTCTGCAGACTCTGATCCTGAAACTACCATGTGTGATGAGGCTTTGGATTTCAGCTACTTATCTAACAAAGTAATATATACTTGCCGTCGCTGTTTATTTCCAATAACTTAGCTTTCTTCTCCTCATAGGTGTAACATTCGTCATCAGAATCAGAGTCAATCACTACCACAGAGCTGAGGGATGAGACAGGAGAAAAACAAGAGAGAAGTATGAACGCAACAGTCTTCTTTTTCATGGCATTTCTCACCTTTTCTGATCTTGACCACTCGTCAATTTTTTGTTTCCCACAGTAACTCTGTTCCCCTCCTTTGGAACCACTCAATCCTTCCATTCTACCTAATTTTCTATAGTTTTCCATCTTCCTACTACATCTTTCCATCTGTCTCACATCCTTCTAAAAAGGAGGAGTCTGTCACATACTGAGAGTGAAATGAGTTCTGTCCTATTTTATGTATTCAGATAGTTTTGGCACAGGGGAAACATTGATCAGGGAGCTCTCATCTTTCTTTATCAAGTTTGAGATCCAGTTGTCTGAGAAGGGTAGAGGGCCACAGATGGAGAGAGGCACCTCAAAGTAGGGAGTTTCTGTTCAGTGCTACTCTCTGCAGCCCCACACCAGCACCACCCTCTTGAACTGACGGACTGCTCTGGTAGGTGTCAAACTCAGCAGTGCACCTGCACCACCCAGGGTGCCAGTGGTAAGCACCCCCTGGGGTCCTCATCCTCAGCTGATCCTGGTATTTGGCTCAGAAGTTCCAGCAGGATGAAATTGGCCACCTTCCTGTCTCCAAACAGTGTATAGTAAGTATAATATACTTTCATAATGAAAGAAAATATTTAAAACACTGTTACAGGACATGTCTGTACCTGCTACAGACACACATGTTCATCTGCTTCCACCATGTTTACCACTTTGACACTGCCAAGTTGATGTGCTTTTGCTATCCTATTGACCACTCCATCCTTAAAACTCTTTTCTTGATTTCTGGGACAAAGTCGTCTTTTGGTTCTCATCTCACCTTTCCATTCACTCCTCCTCACTCACCTTCCTCGACTCAATCCCAGGACTTATTCCCAGCCCTCTCATGCCAATGCAATCAATTATTAATTATACCAGTCCAATCCATTATATTGAGCCCAACTTCTCTTCTGACTTCTAGTTTCACAGTTCCAGCTTCCTACCTGGATATCCTGTGGGCAGAGCTGATATCTAGTCAGTATGCAGAGATACGGCCTTACCGATTTGTTTATTGATGGTGTCTGTCCTGACCAGCAGGAAACCACCCTGACTAATTCCTGCCTGTGCTCTGTTGGTTGTTAGAAAGTTTTGAATATCAGCCCTGCCTACAGGCTCCTTGATTCTAGCATGCCCAAAACCAAACTCATCACCTTCCTCCCAAATCTACTCTTCCTATAGTATCCCATATATAGACGGCACCTGGGACTGGACCAAGACTTGTGGGCACTCCTTTCAGGCCCCTTAAAACTGATTTTCTTTAAATATTTGTTCACCATCTATCTAGCAGAGGCTGGAAGAAACTATTTTTTCTATTTAAAACTCAGATACATTTTAATTTCAAAAACGACTTCATTATGTATAATATTATATACTGGAATACTTCTTAGGCGCCATGATAGAACATTTAACATATAAATAACAGCAATGGAAATACTCTGCATCTTGACAGTGGTGATGGTTACACTACCGCATATGCTTGTCAAAATCCATCAAACTGTACACCTAAAAAGGGTGAATTTTGCCATATGTAAATCATACCTGAATAAACCAGACTTTAGAAATACAATTAATAAAACTGATCATCAATGATTAATAGTTTTATACAATGCATAATTTGGCTCTAGAATTTCAGTTGATTGCAACTGCTGACTTTATTTATTTATTTATTTATTTATTTATTGAGACAGTCTCACTCTCACCCAGGCTGGGGCGCAGTGGCGCAATTATGGCTCCCTGCAACCTCCCCCTCCAGGTTCAAGTGATTGTCGTGCCTCAGCCTCCTGAGTAGCTGGAATGAGAGGCACATGCCACCACCACACCCTGCTAATTTTTGTACTTTTAGTAAAGACAGGGTTTCACCATGTTGGCCAGGCTGGTCTCGAACTCCTCATCTCAAGCGATCCGCCCACCTTGGCTTCCCAAAGTGCTGGCATTACAGGCATAAGCCACCGTGCCCGGCCTGCAACTGCAGACTTTACATGACATTTCACACATTGGTGTCAGGAGTTGGTGGCTTATATGTTGTAAAAACACTCAACAGAGATAAATCAGAGAGAGCCAGAACAAAAATTTTCCCACTTGACAGCACTATTTGGCTTGATGGGGAGAACAAGAATGACCAGTTCGCATTTGTACAGTAATTCAAGGAGTCAATGTGGAAAACAGTTATGTAGCACCATACTTCATATTTACTCCAGCAATTTTTTTCAGCACCCCCTACAGTTTGGCACCTGGGAAACACCCCTCCATCAAGATCTGGCTAGAGCAGAGGATTCATTAATAGGAACAGTAGCAGATGAGGCTGAAAGAGAGGTTATGGCCAGATCACAGAAGGCATTAAATATTGGGGTCAAGAGCTTGATTTTTCTATTATGACCTATTTGAATTGGGGATTGATATGATCAAAGCAGTGCCTCAGGAGATCCAGCTGCAAGTGGTACACAGACTGGATCAGAAGTAAGAGATCAAGGTGAGGATGCCACTTAAAAAGAAGAAACAAGCTGGGCACGGTGGCTCACACCTGTAATCCCAGCACTTTGGGAGGCCAAGGCAGGTAGATCGCTTGAGGTCAGGAGTTCAAGACAAGCGTGAACAACATGGTGAAACCCCATCTCTACTAAAAACACAAAAATTAGCTGGGCGTGGTGACGTGTACCTGTAATCCCAGCTACTTGGGAGGCTGAGGGGAAGAATCACCAGAACTCAGGAGGTGGAGGCTGCAGTGAGCCGAGATTGCACCACTGCACTCGAACCTAGTCGAGCAAGACTCAGTCTCAAAACAAAACAAAACAAAAAATTAACTAATCTAAAAATAAAAAGGAGTAAACACTGATAAGGGCTTAGACTAGTAGAGCCTGGATGTTAAGGCATAGTTCACAGAGATACCTCAAAGAAGAAACTGACCAGTTAGATAATGGATCAGGGATAAGGAATCTAATGTTTTGAACCTGGTTGTGATGTCAAACAGCCATCATGATCCTGCTGAGAACCACAGACTGTCCACAGAGGAAATGTGAAGTTCACTCTTAAATTTCCTCAGTCAGAGCATTGGGTTTTTCCCCCACTTAAAAAAAAAAAAAAAGTTTAATTAATTCTCCTACTCACATGGCCTGTCTCTTCGGAGGTCTTCTGGTCACAGCTAAATCAGAGAAAGAGGGCATTAGAAAACATCTGAAGCATGATAAAATCTGGTTGCCTATGTCTTTAACTCCCGAAAACCAAAGTCTATAAATTAGAGCTGCTTAAAATGTACATCTCCCATGAAGGATAGAAAGGAAATAAAAGTAAGGAAACCCAGAGCCAAAAAAAAAAAAAAAAAGAGGAAAGGAAGTAAGTTGGAAAAAAGGCGGAGAACCTCCTCCACTCCTGACGGTAAGGAAATTTCATTTCACCAACCTAAAGAGAGCCCTAGAGGTGATAAACTTAGAACCAACTTAGGCCAGATATCCCAAATCACAGCTGAGTCATCTCTACAAAGACACTTCAAAATATTCCCACTTCGAGTGGACTCTACTTACAAGACCCATTGGTGTCACCACTCCTTGACCGGACATTAAGGATGCAACTGCAAATATACAAGAGGTACTTTATAAAAGGAGGGCTGCCGGCACCGTAAGCAACCAAATATCAAAAATCCCAAATAAGTGAAGAAAACAACCAATCAGAATTCCCGAAATGCAAAAAAAGTTTTAAGGGCTTTAAGCCCTTAGGAAATTAGGATCACAACAGCACAAGTGAACAAAAATTGGAAGCAATGAGCTACTCTGCCTTTACTGCTGAATCAAAGACAGGGGAAGAACCTTAGCTGAGTATCGTTAGCTATCAGCGAGAAGCCTATTTTCTGCCAAGAAATTTATTTCTATTTAAAAGTATGAAAGTGACGCCAGGCATGGAGGCTTATGCATATAATCCCACCAACTCGGGAGGCTGAGCGGGGAGGATGGCTTGAGCCCAGGAATTCAAGGTTGCAGTAAGCTATGATGGTGCCACTGCACTGCAGTGTGGGCGACACAGCAAGACCCTGTCTCTAAAAAAAAAAAAAAAAAAAAAAAAAAAAAAGACATGAAAGTGAGTCTATCACCCAGGCTGGAGTGCAGTGGCACAATCTCGGCTCACTATAAGCTCCGTCTCCCAGGGTCACGCCATTCTCCTGCCTCAGCCTCCCAAGTAGCTGGGAATACAGGCGCCCGCCACCACGCCCGGCTAATTTTTTGTATTTTTAGTACAGAAGGGGTTTCACCGTGTTAGCCAGGATGGTCTCGATCTCCTGACCTCGTGATCCGCCCGCCTTGGCCTCCCAAAGTGCTGGGATTAGAGGCGTGAGCCACCGCACCTAGCCGAAAGTGAGTCTTAAGAAAGGGGCCTTGGTGGAAACGACTTGAGGATGAAGAGATTGCAGTCAAAAATTCAAAGGGCAAAAGGGAAAGGAGGTCCCCTTTCCGGGTTTACTTCTTGGAGACAGCCTACTGTTTGGGATTGCTATCTAGGTAAATGGATAAGTACTGAACTCCGTTTCATGGGGAGCCAGTGAACAGACGGTTTCTAAGCTGCCACTGCTCCCTGCAGTGAGCCACGATGCTGGGGCCTCTTGCTTCTCCGCCTCATCTGCCAGGGGCCCCAGCACTCACTCTCCACCGCTCCGTGGCAGGCTCCTTTGCCTCCTGCCATCGCCTACCAGACAGCCATGCGGCACTGCCTGAGGTGAAGCCAAGCACTTTCTGCTCGGAACCCTTCAGCTCACCAGACAGCAGCCCGCTGGACATCCACTGTCAGCCAGATCCAAACTCCAGCCCAGAGGAGTCACACCACAGTGACCCCACTGCCACTCCTCCGATGTGGCACCTGGCTACATCATAGGTCATCTTGTTACTAGTTATGGTAACACACAGTCCACAGAGGATATCAAAATGCTAAAGGAGGGGGATCTAATAGCTATAAGGAAGTCCAGATTCTACATATTAAAAGTTAGACTTAGGCCAGGCATGGTGGCTCACGCCTGTAATCCCAGCACTTTGGGAGGCCGATGTGGGTGGATCACTTGAGGTCAGGAGTTGAAGACCTGCCTGACCAACATGGTGAAACCCCGTCTCTACTAAAAATACAAAAATTAGCTGGGCATGCTAGTATAATCCCAGCTACTCTGGAGGCTGAGGCAGAAGAATCACTTGAATCCGGGAGGCGGAGGTTGCAGTGAGCCGAGATCGTGCCACTGTACTCCAGCCTGGGCATCAGAGCAAGACTCGGTCTCAACAAAACAAAAATAAACTAACGTAAAAATAAAAATAAAAAGGAGTAAACACTAATAAGGGCTTAGACTAGTAGAGCTTGGATGTTAAGGCATAGTTCACAGAGATACCTCAAAGAAGAAACTGACCAGTTAGATAATGGGTCAGGGATAAGGAATCTAATGTTTTGAACCTGGTTGTGATGTCAAACAGCCATCATGATCCTGCTGAGAACCACAGAGTGTCCACAGAGGAAATGTGAAGTTCACTCTTAAATTTCCTTAGACAAAGAATGGGGATTTTCCCCCCTTAATTTAAAAAAAAAAAAAAATCAAGTTTCATTAATTCTCCTACTCACCTCGCCTGTCTCTTCAGAGCTCTTCTGGTCACAGCTAAATCAGAGAAAGAGGGCATTAGAAAACATCTGAAGCATGATAAAATCTGGTTTCCTACGTCTTGAACTCCCTAAAACCAAAGTCTATAAATTAGAGCTGCTTAAAATTTACATCTCCCATGAAGGATAGAAAGGAAAGAAAAGTAAGGAAACCCAGAGCCAAAAAAAAAAAAAGAGGAAGGGAAGTAAGTTGGAAAAGAAGCAGAGAACCTCCTCCACTCCTGACGGTAAGGAAATTTCATTTCACCAACCTAAAGAAAGCCCTAGAGGTGATGAACTTAGAACCAACTTAGGCCAGACATCCCAAATCACAGTTGAGTCATCTCTACAAAGACACTTCAAAATGTTCCTGCTTTGAGTGGACTCTACTTACAAGACCCATTGGTGTCACCACTCCTTGACCGGACATTAAGGATGCAACTGCAAAAATACAAGAGGTACTTTATAAAAGGAGGGCTGCCGGCACCGTAAGCAACCAAATATCAAAAATCCCAAATAAGTGAAGAAAACCACCAGTCAGAATTCCTGAAATGCAAAAAGGTTTTAAGGGCTTTAAGCCCTTAGGAAACTAGGATCACAATAGCACAAGTGAACAAAAATTGGAAGCAATGAGCTGCTCAGTCTTTACTGCTGAATCAAAGACAGGGGAAGGCCGGGCGCGGTGGCTCAAGCCTGTAATCCCAGCACTTTGGGAGGCCGAGACGGGCGGATCACGAGGTCAGGAGATCAAGACCATCCTGGCTAACACGGTGAAACCCCGTCTCTACTAAAAAATACAAAAAAACTAGCCGGGCGAGGTGGCGGGCGCCTGTAGTCCCAGCTACTCGGGAGGCTGAGGCAGGAGAATGGCGTGAACCCGGGAGGCGGAGCTTGCAGTGAGCTGAGATCCGGCCACTGTACTCCAGCCTGGGCAACCGAGCGAGACTCTGTCTCAAAAAAAAAAAAAAAAAAAAAAAAAGACAGGGTAAGAATGCTAGCTGGGTATCATTAGCTATCAGTGAAAAGCCTGTTTTCTGCCAAGTAATTTATTTCTATTTGAAAGTATGAAAGTGACGCCAGGCATGGAGGCTCACGCCTGTAATCCCACCAACTTGGGAGGCTGAGCGGGGAGGATGGCTTGAGCCCAAAATTGAAGGGTGCAGTGAACTGTGATGGTGCCACTACACTGCAGTATGGGCGACACAGCAAGAACCCGTCTCGTAAAAAAATAATAAAATGAAAAGTAAAGACTTGAAAGTGAGTCTTGAGAAAGGGGCCTTGGTGGAAACGACTTGAGGATGAAGAGATTGCAGTCAAAAATTCAAAGGGCAAAAGGGAAAGGAGGTCCCCTTTCCGGGTTTACTTCTTGGAGACAGCCTACTGTTTGGGATTGCTATCTAGGTAAATGGATAAGTACTGAACTCCGTTTCACGGGGAGCCAGTGAACGGACGGTTTCTAAGCTGCCACTGCTCCCTGCAGTGAGCCACGATGCTGGGGCCTCTTGCTTCTCCGCCTCATCTGCCAGGGGCCCCAGCACTCACTCTCCACCGCTCCGTGGCAGGCTCCTTTGCCTCCTGCCATCGCTTACCAGACAGCCATGCGGCACTGCCTGAGGTGAAGCCAAGCACTTCCTGCTCGGAACCCTTCAGCTCACCAGACAGCAGCCGGCTGGACATCCACTGTCAGCCAGATCCAAACTCCAGCCCAGAGGAGTCACACCACAGTGACCCCACTGCCACTCCTCCGATGTGGCGCCTGGCTACATCATAGGTCATCTTGTTACTAGTTATGGTGACACACAGTCCACAGAGGATATCAAAATGCTAAAGGAGGGGGATCTAATAGCTATAAGGAAGTCCAGATTCTACATATTAAAAGTTAGACTTAGGCCAGGTGTGGTGGCTCACGCCTGTAATCCCAGCACTTTGGGAGGCCGATGTGGGTGGATCACTTGAAGTCAGGAGTTCAAGACCGGCCTAACCAACATGGTGAAACCCCGTCTCTACTAAAAATACAAAAATTAGCTGGGCATGGTAGTATAATCCCAGCAACTATAATCCCAGCTACTCTGGAGGCTGAGGCAGAAGAATCACTTGAACCTGGGAGGTGGAGGTTGCAGTGAGCTGAGATCGTGCCACTGCATTCCAGCCTGGGCAACAGAGCAAGACTCGGTCTCAAAAAAAAAATAAAAATAAAAACTAAAGTAAACTAAAAATAAAACGAAAACGGAGTAAACACTGATTAGACAAGTAGAGCCTGGATGTTAAGGCATAGTTCACAGAGATACCTCAAAGAAGAAACTGACCAGTTAGATAATGGATCAGGGATAAGGAATCTAATGTTTTGAACCTGGTTGTGATGTCAAACAGCCATCATGATCCTGCTGAGAACCACAGAGTGTCCACAGAGGAAATGTGAAGTTCACTCTTAAATTTCCTTAGACAGAGAATGGGGATTTTTCCCCCTTAATTTAAAAAAAAAAAAGTCAGGTTTCATTAATTCTCCTACTCACCTGACCTGTCTCCTTGGAACTGTTCTGGCCACAGCTAAATCAGAGAAAGAGGGCATTAGAAAACATCCGAAGCATGATAAAATCTGGTTTCCTACGTCTTGAACTCCCTAAAACCAAAGTCTATAAATTAGAGCTGCTTAAAATTTACATCTCCCATGAAAGATAGAAAGGAAAGAAAAGTAAGGAAACCCAGAGCCAAAAAAAAATAGAGGAAAGGAAGTAAGTTGGAAAAAAGGCGGAGAACCTCCTCCACTCCTGACGGTAAGGAAATTTCATTTCACCAACCTAAAGAGAGCCCTAGAGGTGATGAACTTAGAACCAACTTAGGCCAGACATCCCAAATCACAGTTGAGTCATCTCTACAAAGACACTTCAAAATGTTCCTGCTTTGAGTGGACTCTACTTACAAGACCCATTGGTGTCATCACTGCTTGACTGAACATTAAGGATGTAACTGCAAAAATACAAGAGATACTTTATAAAAGGAGGGCTACCGACAGCATAAGCAACCAAATATCAAAAATCCCAAATAAGTGAATGAAACAACCAATCAGAATTCCTGAAATGCAAAAAGGTTTTAAGGGTTTTAACCCCTTAGGAAACTAGGATCACAATAGCACAAGTGAACAAAAATTGGAAGCAATGAGCTGCTCAGTCTTTACTGCTGAATCAAAAACAGGGGAAGAATGTTAGCTGAGTATCATTAGCTATCAGTGAAAAGCCTGTTTTCTGCCAAGTAATTTATCTCCCTTTAAAGGTATGAAAGCGACACCAGGCATAAAGGCTCACACCTGTAATCCCACCAACTTGGGAGGCTGAGGGGGGAGGATCACTAGAGTCCAGGAATTCAGGGTTGCAGTGAGCTATGATGGTGCCACTGCACTACAATGTGGGCGACACAGCATGACCCTGTCTCTAAAAAAAATAATAATAATAAAATAAAGACATGAAAGTGAGTCTTGAGAAAGGGGCCTTGGTGGAAACGACTTGAGGAAGAGGAGATTGCAGTCAAAAATTCAAAGGGCAAAAGGGCAAGGAGGTCCCCTTTTCGGGTTTACTTCTTGGAGACAGCCTACTGTTTGGGATTGCTATCTAGGTAAATGGATAAGTACTGAACTCCGTTTCATGGGGAGCCAGTGAATGGACGGTTTCTAAGCTGCCACTGCTCCCTGCAGTGAGCCACGATGCTGGGGCCTCTTGCTTCTCCGCCTCATCTGCCAGGGGCCCCAGCACTCACTCTCCACCGCTCCGTGGCAGGCTCCTTTGCCTCCTGCCATCGCTTACCAGACAGCCATGCAGCACTGCCTGAGGTGAAGCCAAGCACTTTCTGCTCGGAACCCTTCAGCTCACCAGACAGCAGCCCGCTGGACATCCACTGTCAGCCAGATCCAAACTCCAGCCCAGAGGAGTCACACCGCAGTGACCCCACTGCCACTCCTCCGATGTGGCACCTGGCTACATCATAGGTCATCTTGTTACTAGTTATGGTGACACACAGTCCACAGAGGATATCAAAATGCTAAAGGAGGGGGATCTAATAGCTATAAGGAAGTCCAGATTCTACATATTAAAAGTTAGACTTCGGCCAGGTGCGGTGTCTCACGCTTGTAATCCCAGCACTTTGGGAGGCTGAGGCGGGTGATCACCTGAGGTCAGGAGTTTGAGACCAGCTGGGCCAAGGTAGTGAAATCCTGTCTCTACTAAAAAATACAAAATTTAGCTGGGTGTGGTAGCACATGCCTGCAATCCAAGTTCTTGGGAGGCTGAGGCAGGAGAATCACTTGAACCCTGGAGGCAGAGGTTGCAGTGAGCCAAGATTGCACCACTGCACTCTAGCCTGGGCGACAGAGTGAGACTCCGTCTCAAAAAAAAAAAAAAAAAAAAAACAAGGAAATATATGCAGGCCAGGTACGCTGTAGTCCCAGTTATGCATGGGGTAGGAGAAGATTGTATGAGCCCAGGAGTTGGAGGCCTCAGTGCACCATGATCACACCTGTGAATAGCCACTGCACTCTGGCCTGGGAAATACAGCGAGACCCCCACCACACCTCATTAAAAAAAAGAATATATGCATTGAAGGAACAAGAACCAGAACTCTATCATGAAAGGGCTAAGAAATAACATTGGAAGGCTTTAAAGATACATTAAAAAAAAAAAAAAAAACACACCTCAAAAACTGTAGAAGAGCTGGGAGCAGTGGCTCACGCCTATAATCCCAACACTTTGGGAGGTCGAGGCCGGAGGATCACTTGGAAGCAGGAGTTCAAGACTAGCGTGGGCACCATAGCGAGACTCTGCCTTTACAAAAAATATTTTTAAATTAGCTGGATGTGGGATCCTCCCAGCTACTCAGGAGGATCCCTTGAGCCCAGGAGCTCGAGGCTGCAGTGAGCTATGATGGTATCACTGCACTTCCATCTGGCTGACAAAGAAAAAAAAAAACTTTAAAAAAACAACTTATAAAAGGTAAAAAGAAGATCTATTTTATTTTATTTTATTTTATTTATGAGGCAGAGTCTCGCTCTGTCACCCAGGCTGCAGTGCAGTGGTGCAATCTCGGCTCACTGCAACCTCCACCTCCTGAATTCAAGTGATTCTCCTGCCTCAGCCTGTGGAGTAGCTGGGATTACATGCGTGTGCCACCACAGCCGGCTCATTTTTGTATTTTTAGTAGAGATGGGGTTTTACCATGTTGGCCAGGCTGGTCTTGAACTCCTGACCTCAGGTGATCTGCCCGCCTTGGCCTCCCAAAGTGCTAGGATTACAGGTGTGAGCCACTGCACCTGGCCAGATCCCTCCTTTAAAAGGCCATAAATCATAAAGATTATGTATGCTTTTATATGACTACAGAAAAATCTTTAGAAGAAACACTGCCAAATTATTCAAAAATATTACCTCAGAAGAATGGGAGGATGCATGCATGTGAAGGCAGACTTTCAATTTTTACTTTATATGCTTCTGTACTGTTCATTTCCACCACAGACCTATATTCCCTTAGTAATTTTTACAACTCAATAAATATGTTATAATATGATGAGGATATCTGTGGTTCATTCATTCACTAATTCGACATTTATCAAGCATCTACTATATACTTGGTACTGGGGCTACGAAAAAGAAAAAAAAGAATGACTTCCAGGGATCTCACAGTCTAGTAGCAAAGACAAAAAAACAAATAGACAATATTCATGAGCCTTATTCTAGAACAACAGAAATCAGAAACTGCATTTTTGGCTGGATGCAGTGGCTCACACCTGTAATCCCAGTGATTTAGGATGCCAAGGTGGGTGGATCCCTTGAACCCAGGAACTCTAGACCAGCCTGGCCAACATGGCGAAACCCCATCTCTACTAAAAAGACAAAAATTTTAATAGCCAGGCGTGGTGGCATACACCTGTAATCCCAGCTACTGGGGAGGCTGAGGAACAAGAATCACTTGAACCCAGGAGGCAGAGGTTGCAGTGAGTTTGCAGTGAGCCGAGATTGTGCCACTGCACTCCAGCCTGGGCGACAGAGCAAGACTGTTTAAAAAAAAAAAAAAAATCCAACAAACTGCATTTTTAACAAGCACCCCCACTTTCAGGAACACCAGTTAAGTGTGACAGCCTTCTTTTCCTTGAAATCAGGAATTGAAAATATCAATAGAATGCTAATTAGGTAACTTTGGCATTGTCAAGAAATTTAAAACATAGCCAACCCACTAGGTGACCCACTTGCTTTTCTGATTATTTTAAATTCAGCCTAACAGGATAATTTTTAAAACACAATATTTCTGCATATCATCAAGGCTATCTTGTAATAGTATTGACAAAACAAAGAATCTTGCTTGGGCTAAAAAAGACTAGTCAGTGGGCATCAGAGAGTACTAATTAGGCTTATCAATGAAAATCAGATCCCCACCTCTTGCATTATGCATTTCGGTACAACTTCTGCCTTTGAAGTGCCAATCCCTCCTTCCCCACCCCCTTCACCGTGTTAATGACCTTGTCTCATAAGACACTAGGATAATAGGAGTTCAAGACCAGCCTGGCCAACATGGTGAAACCCCATCTCTACTAAAAATACAAAAATTGGCCGGGCGCGGTGGCTCAAGCCTGTAATCCCAGCACTTTGGGAGGCCGAGACGGGTGGATCACGAGGTCAGGAGATCGAGACCATCCTGGCTAACACGGTGAAACTCCGTCTCTACTAAAAAAAAAAAAATACAAAAAACTAGGGCGATGTGGCGGACGCCTGTAGTCCCAGCTACTCAGGAGGCTGAGGCAGGAGAATGGCATGAACCCGGGAGGCGGAGCTTGCAGTGAGCTGAGATCTGGCCACTGCACTCCAGCCTGGGCGACAGAGCGAGACTCCGTCTCAAAAAAAAAAAAAAAAATACAAAAATTAGCCAGGTGTGGTGGCAGGGGCCTGTAATCCCAGCTACTTGGGAGGCTGAGGCAGGAGAATCGCTTGAACCCAGGAGGCGGAGGTTGCAGTGAGCCAAGATCACTAGGCGACAAGAGCGAAACTCCGTCTCAGGAAAAAAAAAAAAAAATACAGCCCTACCCATCTCAGTCAATGGCACCACCATCTACCCAGTAATGCCAATAACTTAGGAGTCATCCTTGATTTCTTTCTTTCCCTTACCTCCCATATCCAATCCATTTGCAAGACCTGTTGGCTCCACTTCTCTAATATATTTCCTCTAATCTAAGATATTATTATATATACCTCCTCCATGAAAGAAAAAAAACACTACCAAACTACAACCTGCCATCAAATGTATGATACATGCCAATTTCAGAAATGCGAAAATGTGAAAAGACATCTCCGAATTTATGAACTACAATATATTACATATTCATCCAAATCTCTCCAACTCCACTAGTAGTACCCTACTCTAAGCCACCATCACTTCTAGACTTTTATAATACCAAGTTCTTGGGCCTCAGTTAAAAAAAAAAACAACATTTATTTCATAGGGCTATTGTGGAAAGTAAACAAGACCCTGTCTACCCTCCTCTATACTTCTGCACTCCTATGGCATCATGCACTTCTGCCCCATCGCAGCGTTTATCACACTTTACTACCTGTTTACATGTTTCTAACCCCCACCCCAGACACTAAGCTATGCAAGGACTTGGGAGTGTATTTGTTTCACATTGTTCCATACAAAGTCAGGATTCAGTAAGTATTTTTTAAATGAATGAATGTATGAATGAATCTCAAAGAGTGATTCCAAAGACCCCTTCTATTATTTTCCATCCCCTAAAAAAACCTCAAGTTGTGAAAGAATTCCGCCTACTAGATCTCACTAAGTAATAATTTTCTGTGTGTAAACATGTAATTACACATATATGCCCATCTATGTGAAGGTTCGAGGTAAAGAGTCAGCCCAAAATAAAAAACAAAAAAAGCTAACAATCTTATCTTCATTAACGAAAATACAATGCCCACATCAAGGGAAGTAGCAGT